ATGTGATGAAAAGGAAAAAGGCCAAAGTGGCGCACAAATGTGTTTGATTTACGGACAGGGAGGCATCGTGTCCCTCGGTGAAACAGGAAACAAACTTCTTTTGTGCGGGATAAAAACACAGAGAGTGGCGGGCGGGTGATGGCGGCCGTCCTGGCCGACTTTCTCGCTCCGCCGGTGCTAATTGCTAATGCTGCTTTCATCACTTCCTCGAGTGCTTTCTTCCTTCATGAAAACGAAACCACATCGCCGGGGACTTTGCTTCACCTTTATTTACCCACCCACCCCACCTCCCTCTCTCTCAGCTCGCGCCTTCGCCCGACCCGCTGCCAGCTCAGCTACACAACGTGGCGGAGAATCAAACATGGCGTTAGTTGGAGGCGATGCGGCAGAGTTTATCAACACAAACTGCAGGAAGGAGGTGTTTTGAAGTGAGGAAAACGTACTTAAAAAAATTTCACACTGCATTCACTTTCTACCCACTTTAACAACCGTCCCAGTTCACAAATAGCAGTTTTAACTCCCCTGATTAGCGCTGACATCTGCAGCCTTTCATCTCTTCCTCCATCTTGTTTTTTTAATCAGATTAACCCAAACGGGCATCCTTTAATGGCCTCTTTTTTAGGGAAGCTGAAAGAGGAGATAATTAAAATAATTAAACCGCTGGGAACGGTCTGAGCGCGCTCATCTCCAGCTCTTTTCTTTTCTTCTCGCCTTTAAGTTTTGATTCTGCTTTGCTTACTGATTCAAGATGCACACGCAGAGAGAAAGACTCATCATCCTCACTTAATTGCATTAAGTCGACTCTCGGAGGTCCAATTTTTCCCTCCAAAACTGACAGGCAGCATAAGATCTGATGGCTAGGTGCACGTCAGCCATCTAGACGTGGAGGTGGAGGGGGAGGACGCCTTTCTAAACAGCCTTATGGAGCACATTTATTTAGGCTGTTTTGCATAAGGCCAAAGAGGGAGAAATGGGAGAAAAGTAACCCTTTTTAGGGATTATTTATTCATGAACTTTTAAGCTTTTAATGAGGACAAATGAATCCGTTTTTCACTGTGTCAGTATGTAGTATGCCTACCAAAAATATTCTTGTTTAGCATTTTCCTTTTGCGCTGCAAGTCCGTGAGGAATAAACACTTACATTCAATAAATATAACTGGGAGTTCGGAGCAAGACTTTCAGGCAATCGGATCATCTTGATCTTGCATAAATATCACACTTCCCACTTGTTTTGATCAGACTCTGCCACGAGGAAGATGATCATTTATTTATCTCCCGTAATCCTCGGAGCAGAAGCTAAATTGTTAAAATGTGCGTTGATGACCGCTGCACCAAAACAGCTGGTTGGTGAGAAAATGACAACTTTACCACTGAATTGCCTCCTCAGCTTCCTGTTAAGAGCTGCTCTCCGTCATGCAGACGCGGGCGTGCTCCGTGCACGCTCCCCCACGCTGACAACTGCAGAGGGGAAAAAAGAGTTTGGATTTACATTATAGGTGTACACATCCTGAATATTACAATCACTCATCTATACACAAATTCAAACTTTACTTTCTGTCAGAAGGAATCTGACGAATTCTTGCATGAGGACTTTTACCAAAAGCAGCAGCTCAGACGTCGTCCTCCGAGTGCAGCCCCCAACTTTACACACCCCGTCCCCCCCTTCATACTGCTTCCCTGCATTCAGATCATTTTCACAGCGCTTCATTTCAAGTTGGCATGAAATAAAGGGGGGGTATCCCTTTGCTGGAAATACTTAAGATTTATATTTAAATTTTCATGGAATCTTTGAGAACATTGAGGAGCAATTTCACATTTGCACTGACATCTAATTTCTCAAGTACAGTCTGGAAGCACAAATTGCCACGGATTCCCTATGTGCCCAATTATCTTGCATCAATTTCCTTGACCCTGTGGAATGCTGGTAAATTAATCATACTACTTTTTTGGACTCTCTCTCCCTTTTGCAATACACACGTTTGATAAACTAATCATATTTAGTTATACTGAGAAAGAAGAATTCACCCCCTGAAAGCCGAGTCTGCAGCAAGGCCCGGGGGCATGATAAAACACAGCGACATTCGTCCCCACACACATGAAAAACACACCAGGCTAATGCTAGTAAAGATGGATCCATGCTTGTTTATTTTATAAACATTGCCAAATAAACGATTAGATGTCTTGATACACACCGAGCCACAGATCGCCTACAAAAACACCTTTTGGTGTGATTCAAAGTAAAAAAAATAACATATGGATGCAAATATTAAATAGACACAGCTGTAAGACAGACTTTTAAGTGTTTTTAAAATCTAAACAAGCAAATGTGAGGCCAGTTTTATTGTAAACGGTAGTTCTGCTTTTCTAAATCATGGAGATATAGATTTGTCTACAAAATAAAATTAATATTTTTTACCTCTTTAATTAGTAAAACTAACGTGAATAAACAGAATTCCTGGTCACATAGTTAACAGCAGCTTTTCCAGACTGCTGGACCTGTTGATGGAGGTTGGATTTTGGAGCAACAGTGCCCTCTGGTGGACAACAGAACAACTACCTGAAGAGGCTAAAACCAAGCCTGCAGTCACCCATTTATGATTCAAACACACACACACACACACACACACACACACACACACACACACACACACACACACACACACACACACACACACACACACACACACACACACACACACACACACACACACACACACACACACCACTAAAACAAGCAGCCAGGAGTTTGTTAGATAAAGGTAAATGTGCAAAGTGCTTAAATTAATCTTAATTTTACATATAAATTATAAATGTCCCATCTAACGCTCTGCAGGTGGTCTCGTCCTTCCAAGCTCGGGTCCTCTACCAGAGGCCTGGGAGCTTAAGGGTTCTGCGAGGTATCGTAGCTGTTCATAGATCTGCCCTTTTCCAGACTGAGATGTCTGGTGTCTGGAGCCGCTCCTCCAGTACGGGGTTACTGTCCCAAGTGCCCCTATGACCACAGGCACCACCAATGTCTTCACTCTCCAGGATTTCTCAAGGTCTTCTCTAAGGCCCCGGTACTTCT